TACAGATACCAAAAGAGAAGGATGGATAGGGGTCAGAAGAGGTAGCAGGTACCCACCAGGCTGAGAAATGACAGCCCAGCACTATACATCCCCTGAATTCTATGAACATTCAGGAAATGAGAGGCAGAAAACCAGAATTGGCTAGAATTAAGTTTCCAATCCCAATTGATGGAGAAGAACAGAAATGACGTTCAGTTATAGAACCATTGTAAAAAGTTCTCCTCAATTCAGGTTTTCAAAAATTATATCATCCCAATATCACATCACTACATATAAACATTACTAACATGGTCTTATCTCATACAGAAATGGCATTTTGCAAATCAAAAATCATTGTCCGTTGTATTCCTTAGTTTACTTGTCATGTGTATGTATCGTGTGTATACGTATATATGCATGCTTACATGTGTGGGGAGCATATATATGTGTAGGTGCACATACACATGTATACATGAATATGTGAAGGAACATGGTTGAAACAGGAATCTTCTAATTATTCTTCCATCTAATTTGAGTTAGGGTCTCTCAGTCAAACCCAGAGTCTGCTGATACAGTTATAGTCTTGCCAGTCAGCTTGCTCCACTGATCCTATGTCTCCACTTTCTGAGGCTGTAATTACAGGTGGGCTGCAATTCCCACCAGGCATTTACACCAGTTCTGGTGACTCTAACTCTGGTCCTCTTGCTTGCAGAGCAAGCACTTTAACTGCTGTGCCATCTCCCCAGGCCTCTGCTGTAGTCTCTTTTATTTTTTAATGAGCAAAATATTATTTCCTTTTCTCCCATCTCTGATACTCCATTTGGCAGGATCGATTATTTCTGTTTCTGGGCAGCATCACGGCCATAGTTCATGAATCAGGTTTTACCGGCATGATGATGGTATTTGGAGAAATCATTGACAAGCTTGTAAATGGTGGGAATTTCCTTGCCAGGTTCTACCTTTTTTTTTTTTTTTAATACATTGTATTTATCTAACTGGATGAAAGGTTAGAAACTGTTTAACCTATGTTATTTGTCTACTTATTGATTTAAATACCGAGGTGACCCAAATAAAAGAAGTTGTGAATTTAATACATTTTATAAAATTTAAATGTCAAAATATAGATTTATGCTGCTTGATTTTTAAAGCAGGATACACAGGGAGCTTTGCATCTAAGTAAAGTGGGGGAGTCTCTTCCTCAGAGGAACTGGGAATATGGTACCATCATCACCAGGGGCCCATCCATTAGTGATGACAGATGGGCTTCAGAACACATCAAGTATCATGGCAGTGCTGTTCAGATGTCATAACCTTGTTGTTTTGTGCCTGAATTTTTACCTTTTACCTCCATCTTGCCTTCTGGTGGGAAGACCTCAGAAAGCCACTCTACCCCTCTGAGACCCATTTGTTCATCAGTGAGGAAACTCACAGTACGCATTTGTTGTGAGAAGAAATTATTGGATGTAGACATGCTTTTTTTAAAATACAAGATATGATGGGGCTGAGGAGATGAACTAGTCACCAAAGGGCTTACAGAGTTTGATCCCCAGCATCCACTTAAAAAAAATTAATGTCAATTGATCTGTGTTTGTAAACTCAGTGCTGGAGCATGGGAGTGGTCCCTGGGGACTTGCTGGTCAGGCAACCTAGCTTGCCTACTAGGTAAGTATCAGGCCAGTGAAAGACAGTATCTTAAAAGAAAATTAAGGGGGCTGGAGAGATGGCTCAGCGGTTAAGAACACTGACTCTTCTTGCAGAAGACCTGGATTCGAATCCCAGCACCCACATGGCAGCTAGCAACTGTTCGTAACTCCATTTCTAGGGGATCCGATGGCCTCTTCTGTCCTCTGGGGGCATTGTGTGACATGGGTGCACTTACCTACATGCAGGCAATACATGCACACACATAAAAATAATAAATAAAATATTTTTTAAAAAAGAAAAAAGAAAATTAAATGGTAGATGTCCTCGTGTCTATATGCATGCATACATATTTGCACCTGTTTGCACATGAACACACGCATAAAATACAAGGTATGATTTTTTTATACTCAAAGTTTCTTTGGCGAGGAAGCATGAGAAAATATTTCTCTTTGCAGCATAACAAAATCTATAGATAAATGAAACAGATTTTAAGCCTCAGTGAAAAAGGTATTGTCCTAGCAACTCCATACAGCAGAGTGTGCGTTGTGTCTATTGAATCCTGGAGTTGCAGTTTTGATACTTTTCCCTTAATCTGAAGAAAAGCCTCTAAAAACTTAGCAGACTATTGAATTTTTCTCTTAACCTACAGAAAATGCTTCTCTCCTTTTATTTTTCCAGTTCATGTTGATGAGAGGGAGCGACATCTTCTGCCCAGATGTACCCACTGTGCCACACTCATGCATGCCCTCCCATCCCCATTTCTGTATTTGGGGTTTCCTTCCTCTGGGACATCAATTCTAAGGAACTTAGTTACATAAGGAAAAAAACTGATCTTTCCACAAGTCAGCATATGCTTTGGAGACATGGATTTGGGAATTTTGTTAGAGTTATTTGTTTGTTGGCTGACTCTACAATATGAACAAGTCCCCTTTCCTTCCCTGGACCTCACTTTCTCAATATGCCAACTGAAGGATTAGGGTATAGTGCCCTGAAGAAGGCAACTGCTGGTATATGCCTACACAGCACCCACAACTGCTCTTCCTATTTCTGGGACTCAGGCTTCCTTGAGAGTCTATGCCTGTGCAAATCTCAGACCCACACATTTCAGTTGCAGCTGCCTCTTGATAAAAATCCCCCCCCCCCCCGTGACTCACTTGGAGATGAGCCTGGCCCATCCCTGTGACTGGTACAGGGACAGAGGTGAGACTCAAGCTGGTCACCAAGATAATCCTGGGTCTGTAGTTAGAGGGACTGGGAAAGGGCTATTCTTGCCTCGCAGGACTCAGGGGACAAGTTTCAGTTGGCCAGAGAATGGTGTGAAGAGGAGGAACGCAGAACTGGGGAGTGCAGAGTAACTAATCCTAGTGTTTGAGTCTCTCAAGCGAAGTAAGCCTGAACTTCACCTATCCCATAATATGCTTCCCCTTTTTCTTGAACCATTGTTGACTGTCACTTAAAATACTGAGAAGTGAAGTGAATAAAATCTCTATCTACCTTTCAAGGCCTGTTGATCTTTGAATCTAAAATACAGTTTCATTACATCATCTCATTTTCTAGAAGCTTCCTTTACTAGTCTCCTGAGCTCTGGCTATTTCTCCGGCTGCTGTATCGGGTTGTTGAACGTCAGCTGAGTGTTCTGTTTTTCTTGGGTCTCATTTAAAGAGCTTAGTCCGGAGCACTGATTCCCATCGCCAGTGCCTCTCTCCCTTCTGTTTTCCTGCTTTCTCTTTTCCTTCTTGCTTTACTGTGATGGCCACTGCTGGTGTGCTGAACCAAATCCACAGATTCTCCGGGGTCTCATTCAGTCATAGGAAGAGGCGAACCACGGCAGTGTATGCTATATAGTGTCCCAGGTGATGTAACAAAAGTGGGTGCAGACACCAACCATGAACTCTAGAAGAGTACCATCACTTCCCCAAGGAGAGGGGAATGCCTTCAGAAAGGAAGGAGCTGGGTCTGGTGACAGGTTTACTTATTTGCTACAAAGGCTGGCAGAGGAAGGCCAGCCTTCCTCTGCAAGTGAAGGGCATGGAGCATTAAACAGACAGCACGTTCAAAGAACAGCATCTGATCAGCTCCATTTGGCTGTAGCATGGAATGAAGTCAAGTGATGAGCACTGTGTGTGCGGGGATTGGGAAGGAGCCAAATGAGGGACATCGAAAGTCAGGCTGGGCCTGAGGGGCAATGGCAATGCTTCTCAAGTGTATGCCCATGTCTTCTCAATTCTCTCCTCTCTCTCCCCTTTCCTTTTTCTCTCCTGTCTCCCCTCTCCCCTCCCTCCCTTCCTCCCCTCCCTCCTCTCCCCCTTACCCCCATCTCTCTCCCTCCTCTCTCCTCTCTCTTCACTCTCTCTCAACACATGCATAGACAAGTGCACGTGTGCATATAAGCACACACATTTATTTGTTAAAATTTCAAGTTCGTGGGGCTGAAAATGTGGCTCAGCCGTTAAGAGAACTGGCTGCTGCTCTTGCAGAGGACATGGGCTCAGTTCTCAGCACCCACATGACAGCTAACAATTGTCTGTAACCCTAGTTCCAGGGGAGACCTGACACCCTCTTCTGGAATTCATGGGTATTGCATGCACAGAGTGCACTTATATACATGCAGGCAAAACACTTCTACATGTAAAATAAAAATGAATGAATGAATGAATGAATGCATAAATAAATAAATACCTTCAATCCCTGATATAAACCCCCCTCTAGAGATGTAACCCTGGAGCTTTCATTTTGAACTACCCTGGACCATTCTTACCAAACAAGCCATCAATTTTGGGGACATATTTTCATAGTCAACAGGGGTCTTCACTCTTTTTCTTCTGTGTCCTTATTTCACAGAAGTTACTGAAATCCAGTGCAAGCAAAAGTCACCTCCCCTCCTACTTTGGTAATCTGCATCATTTTCTTAATATAAATTGATCCATCCTGTTAAAGTCATTTCCAATACCTATTTTCTAAGGAAGCCTATTACTGACCTTAGGTCTCAACTGGAACTTCCTTTTCTGGACCACACAAAAGAACCTACACTGTACTATTTTCATGTCATTGATACTTTCCCACCCCCTCTATGTGTTCCCAGAAGTAAGACACGCTGTGTTTTAGTTTCCAAAGCACAGTCAGCTTTTGGAAGCCAGGGCTTCTCAAGGACATATTATTGGAGGACACTTGAGTTATACTATCTCATTATATTCTTCAATAAATTCCATGAGGTAGGTTTAATCATCTTACTTTACAGATGAGGACATTCCAGCAGCCTGGTGTGTGGAAGGACACAGATGCAGGAGCTTTGACCAGTGTGATTTTCCTTGACCAGCTGCCCCTTGCAGGGAGGGGCCCCCAGAACATGGCAAATTCCTGGGATAATGGGCACTCACCACACATCCTGAGGAGTCCACCTGGCGGTCAGACACGCACTTGAAGTTGCGGGTGCAGCCACCATTATTCCGTGAGCAGTCACGAACTGGTCCAAATGAGGACAGCAGGTCATTGATGGTTTCAAAGTATGTGGACAGCATCGCTTCTTCCCTTGGAGGAAAAGGGGATGGTTAAACCTCAGAGATATCTGCATTAGTATATTTAAAAAATACTCTTACATTTGAAACCATTATTTATTTTATTTGTAATCAGGGTACTAATACAAATAAGAGGTTAGAAGAGGGGAAATATGTATACAGCATAGTGCTTACATCCTATTGTAATAAAGAAAAATAGATTTAGGGATTTTGTGTAAGTTATCATCATATTTTAAAGGTAGGTAAGAGATTTTCATTTTACCACAGGTGAACTCTATATTAGAAATGTGAAATGTCTTACTAAGAACCACTCAGATTATAGCATAACTAAAGTTTGCATCAAGTTCTATCTGGGTCTGAAAAAAAAGTTCTGACCACTACACAACTCTGAACTTGATCATATCTGTACAAATTCTAGAGGTTTCTATAGCAACTCTATGATTCAAAGATTATTATTCCAACCTAGTCAATGTATAAAGTGGAAGCTGTGGAAACTTGTAGGACTTAGTCTCAATTCTCACAAGCTATAAACAGAAGAGCCAAGGCATACATGTAAGAGTCTGGCCCTAGGTCACTAGAACATTGGTTTTCAGACTATCACATACAACTCACACTGTTGAAACTGTCAGCAACAGTATTGGGAAGGTCACGGGATTATTCTCAAATGAGGTTCCCAAAAGATACTGGTATTTATAGATCCGCCACAATTCAAGATGACAGAATTCTGTAAGATGGATTCTACAATATGAAGGGATACACAGGAAAGTTTCTGTTACTATTTTCTGGAGCCCAGAGCTGCAAAACAAGAGACGTGGACAAGGAACAGAGGGAGCCGATGAAAGGCACGTCTTCTACCAGTCCTTCCTTCTTCAAGTTTGGAGCTCCCAAGTTGGGTCTCCAAATTCATTTCTGCTTCTAATCTTATTCCCTTCAGTCTCATTTTCACACTGACTGGTAGTGAATTTAGTAAATCCCAGCTGTAAATGAATTCTCCTCTGTTCAATAGCTCCCCGGTACTTAGGAAGGAGGGAATCTAAAGAAGTTTCCATGGCCTTCAAGGCTCTTCATAATCTTGTCCTCGATACCTATTCACCTCTGTTTACCTCGTCCTTATATTCTCCATCACCTAGCCACATGCTGCTTCTCATTCTCTGAATAATGAAACTTATGTCAATGTCAAGTTTCCTGAAATGGAATTCTGGAATGTAGTTATAAACAGGGTACTGAGTGACACTCCCTCTTAGGACATACATCTGTACAACAAGACCCAGCCAGGATTTGGTAAAGAACCCTCAGGAAAGACTCAGTTGATCCTATGGGGAGCTCAAAGCCTGGGGTAGACCTTAATGGGTGTCCCAGATTAAAGCAAAGGATCAAGTCTTTGTGTCCAGAGCCTCTGACCATTGCAAGGACTGCAGTCTGGAAGTCAGTAGGTGGGTGTCTTTGGGTGAGGCAGTTCCCTCTGGCTGAAGTCTGTGATTGGTGGGAAAACAAACTTTAGGCCATCAGTCACTGATGCTCACAGCTGGGACATGGGGTGAGTTGGCCCTGAAGAATCTGGATCATATTGTACGGACTGAGTATGATTTACCTGAAATGCTTGGAACCGGAAGTGTCTCCTACTTAGGAGTTCTGGGAGGTTTTACATATACTTTACCTATTTAGCATCCCTAATCCAAACATCGGACATTTAAAATGCTATAAAATTCTGCAAATTTGAGCATTACCCTAGGACCTGTATCTTCACCTCTCTGAATGCGTAATCATGTTTTCCTTGCTGTCTAGAATATACACCTCTGAATTTTCTTCCTGATGAAATCCCGAGGTCCCTTGTAAACTACTGCACTTTACTTATTCATTCACTCACACATTACACATGCTTATTGAGTGTTTAATATGTCCTGGGTAACAGGAGTGACCTTGGACAAGGTCTTTTACCTTCCTTTAGCCCTTTTGTGGAACCTTCTTTACTCCCATTAGCTTGAATTCCTTTACCTTATGAGCACATTGTTTAAATATGTGACTTAATTATTAGCTTCATGGTCTCCTAGAGATACTGTAAACTTTTGGAGGGAAGGGCTTAGGATTTACAAATGCGTATTTAGTCCCTCAATCGGACCCTTGAGGAACATGTACAGGGTAAATGTTCTCAAATGAAACAAAGAAAACATCAGAAGGCTGAGTGTAGCCTCAGGTGTAAACTTGTCCATGCAGGACACACCCCTCCTTGTTCCCACACTGCGTTTCCGTTCCAAATCCTTCATGTTTTTATCTATAGGGTAGAGACAAAAGAGATCATGCAAGGACCGTGTGATTTCCCCTAACTTAGAGTAAGATGGCAAGTACATGGGGGAAGAGAATTAACAGTTTATGAAAGGAAGTTCTTAGGAGAGTTGCCGTGTCTGTGTTGTGGGAAAGCCTTAACATATTAAATATGCAGAAGGATCAGAAAAGGCAAGTGGAAGAAGAGACACAGGCAGAAGGAGAGGATCCCAGAGAGTGTGAGAGCAAGGAAAGTGATAGGCATGAGAAATGGTCATAAAAGAAGGAAAGACAAACAGACAGAGACATATAGGCTTCCAGAAGAAGGTGAGTAGAAAAGAAAAACAGATGGGCAGACAGACAGATGGGCAGACAGACAGGCAGAGGGAGATACACACACACACACACACACACACACACACACACACACAGAGGCATATCTCAGAGATTAAAAGATAGGCGAATAGAGGCAGAAGGATATGAAAGAGGAGATTAAAAATGGAAAAGCCCAGTAGGAGAAAGAGAGGGCGAAACAAAGGAGTGAAAACTAAATTGAGAGAGGAAAAAAGCCTTGTGGTCAGCACAGAACAAGGACATAAATGTAAAGAGGAGGGACAAGGGAGGGAGGAGGGCAGAAAGACAGAAGAAATTGAGACATCGAAAGGAAGCCAATACAGAGTGGCAGGGAAGAAGCAAAGAGAAGGAAAAAACAAGGAAAAAAAGAAAAAAAAGTCACCTTTCCGTGGGACCTGGAGGCTGCTCAGGAAATACAAATGAGTAAACCCTTAGCTTTTAAAAAGATCAGTTCTGCACAAACACTAGTTACATGTCGGGGGCTCTACTTAAAGCACAAAGACCTAACACAGGGCTCTTATTAAGCCAAGAGGAGTGATTGTGTCCAGACAGGAAATAAGGCAGCTGGGCACAGACATAAAAGAGGAGCTGGGGTAGATATTGCATTTTCTTAGCTTGGGGAGTCATTCCAGCATCCCAGCCTGAGTCTAGGGTTTAAGGACTCCTGTACTTTCGAGCTGCCCCATAGCAGGGCAGGGGATCAGTAAAGGGATCAGTGGAGAGCTCCAGGGGCAGGGGCAGAGGTGAACTTGATAGACAGGTGCAGAATCAGGGTATCAGGACACCTGTATGAAGAGTCCAATCCTTGGCAAAAGTTACCACATCACTAACATCATCTTCACCATTCACGATTTCCTGAGCACCTATGTGTGAAGAACAGTGTAGACTCCCTTCCTGTGTAATTGCTTTTGATTTTTCTAACAGTTCTGTGAACTACATGTTTTTCCTCCCATTAGGCAGCTGGAGGAAGTAGATTTTAGGGGAGGAGGGAACTTTCCCTGATCACTCAGGCAAAAACAGGCTATGCACAAAGATCTTTTTCCAGTCCTGAGCTTGCTTCCCATCAGGGTTAAATATCAACAATTTGCTCTCTCTGTCTTTTGCAATTCAGAGCTCTCATACTAGTAGAGCCAGTAAACACCTGTATCCAATTTCTCTATGATTTAGGGAAAGACAGATGGGGAAACCTGTGTTTTTCTTTACATAATCTTCCACCCCTGTATTCTGGCTGGGGAATGTGACCCATAGCAGCCTCAACCCCCATGGGATTAAAAAGTGCAAACACAGTGTGACGCTTCATTAGAGCTGCCATAACAAGTACCACAAACTGGGTAAATTCTGTGGCAGTTCTGGAAATCAGAAGTCATCCAAGATCCAAAGATCCCTCAACAGGGTATAGGGGAGAATGCTTCCTTCCTTCTTCACAGCTCCTGACATCCCTTACTTTCCTTGTCTTAGGAGCTTCTTGGCTCTGATATCTGCATCTACCCTTACAAGGCCTTCTTCCTCGTGTGCATCTGGGTGTCCTTCCCACTTCTTTAAAGGACACCACTAACTGCTAAGATGTGAAAGTTTGTCATGCATCCAAAATTCGTGCTGAAACTTAATCACCCACGTAGCATGATTTACAGGCAGGGCCTCCAGGCAGTGATGAAGTGATGAGGTCTGAGACTAAGTAAATAGAATTAGGTGTCCTTATGAAAGGGTTTGATGAAAGGAGCTGGTCATTTTGGTCCTTCCCTCTTGCCTTGCGTGAAATTCTAACTCTCTTCCCCTTTAGAGTAGACAGCATTCATGGTACCATCTTGGACTTAAAGACCAGAATCTCATCAGACAACAAAACTTATTGGTACCTTGATGATGGACTTCCCAGCTCTGGAACCATGAGAAAAAAATTCAATACTCCATAAAGTAAATTGTCTGTATATTTAGTTATAACAGTATAAATAAATGAAGCCAACCATCCTTTGAACTTAGGGACACAAGAGCCTTGAATTCAGTGTTGAGGCTGGGGTGTGAACTCAGGCATACCCAGTTCTAAAAGCCTTATTCTCTCCTCCCTATGAAGTTTCTTCTGAATTCCAGGCTTCTCCCCTATAAAATGGAAACCATGCATGCTTTGTTCCTAGCTCTAGATTACTGTGATGACAACATAACTCGATACGTACAAAAGTGTTCTCCGAACTCACAACCCACTGCAAACATATTCACTGTTCATTTGATAAATTTTTAAGAACTGACTGCATAGCAGGCACTAGGCTAATGATTATTCTGGATTTTCTTTGGCTTCTCTGTACTTCAGTTTCTGCATCTAAGGCCAGATATTATCTAAAACGCTTTCAAGCATCTCTCTAGCTCTCACACTGTATTTTTTCTCCCTTTCTGACAATTCTGATT